GGCCCCAGGGCTGGCCCTCACCTCAGGCAGCCGCCACGCCCGGGCCCCCGATCCCCAGGAGGACCCTCCCGGACACCTTGGGTTCTGCCTGGCATCTTCTTGACTCTCCACACGGCTCGTCGGGAGCCCGCGGGAGCTCAGGACGAACAGTTGCTGGGTCAGAAGCCTGCCCGGGCGGGTGGGAATGGTGGGAGCTTCTGGAGGCGGCCGCGGTGGAAGCTGTGGCCGCGTGAGCCGGGCTCCGGGTGCAGCTGCGGTCGTGGAAGAGGCGCGCGCCCTGGGTTCTCCGGTGAAGCGCGTCCTGGCAGGGGCACCCGGGGCTGCAGACCTCCGTGTCCCCACGTGCACGGCGTCTTCGTGCTGTGATGTCGTCCTTCGCATGAAGTTTTCAAGACCCATATCCCGTTCTCTGTGAGCCCAGGTTTTACTTTGTGAAGGACTGTCCGGAATAGACCCAGGGAAGGGGGACCAGCATTTGCCAGGTTTGCCCGCGTGTGACGGTGAACGTCCCTGGACGGCTGTCCTCTGTGCAGGGGCGGCCTCGGCCGGTGGCAGGTGCAAGGTCAGCCAGGCTCTGTGGCGTCTTTAGTGAGAAGCAGGAGATCCATCAAGGGGACACCAGAAGTCCAGACAGTTCCAGAAACGTCTCCATTGGTGGTTCCGTGTTTGTTTTTATCACTTGCACGTCGTGTTTTGTTTTCAGGCTTGCACGTCGTGTTTTTAACTGTCCTTTAAAGATGCAAACTCCTGACTGCCTTGATGTATCCCCCTGGCAAAGGCCACGGGCGCGCCAGATCTCGGCGGGGGGGGGGTAATTGGGACTGGTCAGTGGTGGCCTCTGTGGCGCCTCCAGAGAATGATGGGGTGATGCTCACGCCTCTGCACCACGTGTCTGCTCACGGCCTGACCCGAGCTGTGGCCGGGAGTTGGTTCTGTGGATGTTCATGTCGCTGGCGTTTATAAAGCGAAGGAAGTGACAGCCCAGAGTCGGGCAGCGGAGTGAGGATGGCTGCTGGGATGAATGGGATGCTGTGATTAGATGGTTTCTGAATAAGCTCAAATGCTCGAAATGCAATCTTTCTTTCATAAAAAGGCCAGGCATGGTGGTCCATGCCTGTAACGCCAGCCCTTTGGGAGGCTGAGGTGGGAGGATCCTGGAACCCAGGAGCTGGAGAATGCAGCCTCGGTGGGAGAGCGAGAAAAGAAAAAAGAAAGTACCACGTCATGTGTCTCATTCTGCTAAGATGCATCCTTTTTGTAAAAACGCTTCTGGAAATACATCCAGTGGGCTGGGTGCGGTGACTCACGCCTGTAATCCCAGCACTTTGGGAGGCCAGGTCAGGAGGATCACTTGAGGTCAGGAGTTCGAAACCATCCTGGCCAACATGGTGAAACCGTGTCTCTACTGAAAATACCAAAAATTGCTGGGCATGGTGGTGGGCACCTGTAATCCCGGCTACTCGGGAGGCTGAGGCAGGAGAATCGCTTGAACTCGGGAGGCGGAGGCTGCAGTGAGCCAAGGTCACTCCACTTCACTCCAGCCTGAGCCACAGAGCGAGATTCCATCTCAAAAAAGAAAAGGAGAGAAAGAGAAGAGGAAGGAAGGAAGGAAGGAGGGAGGGAGGGAGAGAGGGAGGGAGGAGGGAGGAGGGAGGAGGGAGGAGACACCCAGTGAGTCTGTGAGTGTTGGTCACTGCAGGCTGAGTGGATGTTGGATGCAAATTTCACTCGAGTTTTTTATTTTTTATTTTTTCGATTGCATTGAGTGTCATCCTTTAAAAAAAATTGATGCAAGTTGAAGATGAGTTAGAAGTTACTGGAATTATGATCAGTTCTGAGCTCAGGGCTTCAGCAGGCGAGTTGCAGCTCCGGGAGCTGTGGCTGGTCAGAGACCCCCAACGGCAGCACAGCTGCCCACGCCGCCTCAGGCTTCGCCCCCACCCCGAAGAAGAAAGCTTGGGGGGCGGGGCGGGCGCAGCGCAGGCACCTCCCCCGGCTGTTTGGGCCCTTTTTTTCTGAACCAGACACAAATTTGTAGAGCTGCCAAATTCATGCTGAAACTTTCTAAGGCCGATCTACTTAACTGTCTGGATTGTGATACTCATTTTGTAAAGCATCCCTGCTTTAAGCTGTGCACACGCTGTGTCGCTAAATCTGCAGATGATTCCAGAGCCAAGTGCGTGGGTCAACGGCGGACTTCACGTATGAGGGCTCTCGTGAGGTCATGAGAGCGTTTTTTTTCTTACTGCACCTTTTCTGTTTAGATGTGTTTAGATTCACACACCCTGAGGGCTGTGGGCAGTCGGTGGCGGTGTTTGGTGCAGCCACATGCTGTGCCGATGTGTACTCTACTGGGCAGCCGTGGACCGTGCCACGTGGCCGGGGTGTGCCGTGGCCACCCCGTTGGTTCCCGCGAGTTCCCATGACGACAGAACGGCCTAAGGACGCGCTTCTCAGGCCATGTTCCCATTGTGAAGTGACACCTGGCTGCAGTTACACAGTTCCTCTACATGACGGTCAAACGCCAACTGGGTTGGACGGCTTCATCTTTAGGAAACGCGCCTTTAGCCAAATGCGGGGACTTTTCCTCCTTTCGTCTTCCCTGCTTCCTCCCTCTCACTCTGTCTCACTCTTAAGTTTCCTGGGAATCCAGGGAGCCCGTTTTTTTTTCCACTGTGAATTTTGTTTTTTATTTGTTTCTTTTCGATTCGTAGCAGAAGACAGGTCCAGGGCACCTGAGCCGGGCAGCGCCTGGCACCATCTGTGACTTTTTCTGGCACCTGCCTGTCGGGGAGTGGGCGGGCCCCTGTGAAGGGGTCTTTCATTGCCGGGCCTGCAGCCACCCCCCTCTCTTCCCCACAAGCGCGCAGTCGGCCAGAGCTGTGTGTGGAGAGCTCCTTTCTCCAGAGGCCTTCCTGTGCGGGGTGGGGCGCTCGATTCAGCTGCCTGCCTTCTGCCTGGCAGCATTGGCTGATAGCGGGCACCCACGCTGAGAACCTCACGTGGGACGCAGCTCGGACACACCACCCAGGAAGCCGCGTCTTGGAGATTCCTCCGTCGGGAAAGCTGCTGTGGCTGCCGGGGTGCCCCGGGGCCTGTAACCACAGAGGGAACGTGGGTGGTCAGCCTGCCGGGGGCGTCTTTGGATAAACCCATTTCTAAGTTTTCAAGGTACGATGAAGCTTCTAGTGTCACGAAATATGTAGTCTTGTTGAGGAACATTTTAGATGTTTGTATTTTTTAAAATGATGTATTTGATTCCATTCAAGCTGCCTCCTGGGTTTTTTCTCTTTGAAGGAGTCTTTTATCCTACCTGTTTTTATTGTATTTGTTTGTTTTGAGACGGAGCCTTGCCCGTGGCCCAGGCTGACATGCGTGGCGATCTTCGCTTACTGCAACCTCCACCTCCCCCAGCTCGGGTGATCCTCCCTGCTCAACCTCCTGTGTAGCTGGGACCACAGGTGTGCACCGCCATGTCCTGCTAATTTTTTTGGTTTGTTTTGTAGAGATGGGGTCTCACCATGTTGCCCAGGCTGGTCTCGAACTCCTGAACTCAAGTGATCTGTCCCCGTTGGCCTCCTGAAGTGCTGGGATTATAGGCGTGAGCTGCTGTGCCTGGCCTTGCTTCTGTTTTTGAAAAGTCACTTTGGGTTCATGGTGTGTCCTGAGGTGTGGGGACCTTCGGGGGACAGGAGGCAGTTGAACTGGCAGATGCCCCCGCTCTGAGCCTGCGTTGCGCGGAACCTGCCCTTCCTTCTGAGAAGCCGCCCTGCCTGTCCCACGTTTCTGTGGCTTGTACTTAAAACTGGTGTTGAATGACAGTGAGCAGCTGTAGGCAGTAACCAAGTGGAGGGCTGAGTGACTGGCCAGTGGGGCTGGTTCTGAAGACGTGGCAGTTGCAGGCCCTGTGTGGACAATGGCCTCAGCAGCCCAGCTGGCCATGGTGCTCGGGGTGAGCCTGTGTGGTGAGGACGGTCAGTGGGCCCCGGGCAGGCTCTGCCCACAAGATGGTGAGGACGGTTGGTGGCCTCGGCAAGGCTCTGCGCACGAGGTGGTGAGCACGGTTCGTGGTCTCAGCAAGGCTCTGCCCACGTGGCAGTTAGGAAGCGCCCAGCCTCCTGCACAGGGTGGAAGACGGCTCCTGCATAGAGGGCGCTGCACCGGGGTTTCCTGCAGGCCACCCCCTAGATGCGAGAACCCCTCAGGTGCACGGTGGGGACCCGGGGAATGCTGAGTCAGTCCGCCGTGGCCTCCTACAGAACGCCCGCAGGAAGACTCTCACACTGAGGGCACAGGCAGAACCTTACCTTAGCCTTCCACCCCAAACACTCATCTCCCCAAAGGACGGGGGCCGTGGGCTGTGAGGGCAGACCTGGCACCTGTCACCCGCCAGGTCATGCAGCTCCTGTCCCCGCGCGCAGAGTAATGGGACAGGCTCCCCAGGCCCTGAGCGTCGCGCCCCGCCGGCCGCGCTGGCCCCCCCGCCCGGCCCTCCATGGATGCCCGGTTCCTCCTGCTGACCCTCAGTCGGGACTTTCTGTTTGTCCTGCAGCAGTCGTGGAATGTGGGGGCTGCCGGCGCTGCGCACGCCACGTCTTCCAAAGCCGCCCCTTATGAAGAGCCCAGTCAGTCTCCTGCCCGGCAGCAGCTGCACAGACAGTTCATAGCGAGGAGGGTTTGAGCTTCCTGGTTCTTAGACCACAGCTCCCGCCTCTTAGATGATTTTTAAAAAGATTTTCAGTGAGTTCAAAACCTGTCTTAGTGGAAGGCTGAGTAGCTGATGATAGAAGCCTGTCACGGAGGAAGAGGAGTATGTTAAGGCTGTGCTTGGAAAATGTTTCCAGAGCAGGCGGGCGGCGACCGCAGGGCGTGATGAGTCAGCATCGCGCGGACACAGGCTTGTCGGTGCCTGCGTTCGGGGTGAGGTGTCCGCCTGAGACGGTGCGGGGTGTCCCAGCAGAGGTACGTGTGGAGCTGACACCCCCTCTGTTCCCTTCCAGCCCGACCCTGCCTGCCCTAGACTGGCAGCTGCCGTCACACTCCGGCCCGTACGAGCTCCGGATCGAGGTGCAGCCCAAGTCCCACCACCGCGCCCACTACGAGACGGAGGGCAGCCGCGGGGCCGTGAAGGCGTCGGCCGGAGGACACCCCGTCGTGCAGGTAGGCGTTGCGGCCGGACTCACGCCACTCGCCGCTCTTCTGGTCCAAAAGTCGCTCTGGCACCACAGCTAACTGTGCTTGCAAAGTGGACCGTCCCGGCCAGGCCAGCTGTGTGCTCCCTCGTGGTCCGTCCCGGGAGCCGCGGTCCCTCTGACCTGGAACGGGGTGTGGCACGGCCCCTCCTCCGCCTCCGCACGCCCAGGCCCTCTCTCGTTTACAGATGGGCCCAAAGCGGGTCCCCTGTCCATGGCACTGCCTGTGGCGTGGATGTTATGTGTGGTTGATTCTCCCCTCTCCAAAGCCTCTGCGCTTGGAGGCAGGGGTTCTCGCCAGCAGCTCCAGCCTCGCAGTGTGGGGGCGGGCCTTAGAAATGCAGGTCTGTGGCCCACGCAAACGCTGGGCTTGGGGCTGGGGCCTGTTTTCAGCAGAGCTGCTGGGGGGCACCACGACCCAACTTGCTTCCCCAGGAGAGGAGGAGGAGGCGGCGGCTTTCAGAGAGGGCCTGCGCCGGGCCGCCCTGCAGCCTTATCCCTGCCTGACTGCCCGGGCTCTGGTGTGGCTTCTCGCCTTGTTCACACCTTGGGGGAAAGCCACGTGGAGTTAGGATGTTCGTCGGCTCTCTCCAGGGAGGTGTGCAGCGACCGTGCCGGGGACACACAGCATCTGCCCACACAGCTGCACCCCGTGCACCCCAGGCGTCGATGTGGACCCCGGGTGGCCATGGGTGTCGGCGTTCGCTTCCATCAACTTGTTACCTCATTAGCTCTAGACCCCAGACCCCGGATCTGCTGCTTTGGCCACAGAGCAGGAAGTGAGGCCTGGCCCCAGGTCCCAGGTTCCAGGGTTCCAGGGCTCCTGGCCACACAGCAGCACGGAGGACATTTTTCCAGCACATCCCAACAGCAAAACCCGGGCCCCCCAGCCCCGTCGTTTAGGGAATGATGCCAGCCAGAAGGGGCGTTCAGCGGGGTGCCCCGTGTTTTTATTTCCTTCTCTTTACAAGAATAGTGGAGGGAAGGCAGCCGCAGGGACAAATGGCTGTTCGCCAACCCAGCGGCCGGCACGTGGAATTAGCAGGCAGGGCGCCGGGCGCGCGCAGATGATGATGGGACATTGTGGCCTGTGTGCTCCGTGCCAATTAGTACCTGCCTTGCCGGCTGCTTGAAGCGGGGAAAAGCCAGAGACACGTCGGCGGCTGGCGGCCGGTTTGACATTTGAGGTCCCCGCCTCCCGGGTGGAGAAGGTGGGGCAGCGCTGTGCTCGGTCACTACAGGCGTCTGCCTCCCTTTCCTGCCTCGGTGTTCGCGGACCGAAAGCCTGTTATTGCCCCATGGGAAGGAGATCAGAAGGGCCTGGAAGTGAGGCTGAGAAGGAGGAGTGAAAATAAAGCAACAGAGAAATAATGGCCCGGCCCCCGTTTGCTGTGAATTATGTCGGTGAGGGGCGCTGGCCGTGCGCGCGGGAGCAGGGCGGGCTTCGTCGCCCCCTTCACCGTGTGCGGTTGAGGGGCAGCCGCAGGAATCAAGGCTGCTGTTTGGAGGATACAGTGGGACTGTGAGCGTAGAGAGCACTGAGGTCCGGTTTGGTTTTGTTTGGTTGAGACGGAGCCTCGCTCTGTCGCCCAGGCTGGAGTGTGGTGGTGCGACCTCGGCTCACCGCAGCCTCTGCCTCCCGGGTTCAAGCGATTCTTCTCCCGCCTCAGTCTCCCAGGTAGCTGGGACTCGAGGCAGCCCTCAGTTTCCGGGGATGTATTTTCACCGATCCGTGAGTATCTCGGGTGCCTGGTGACCCCGTGCCCACAAACACAGCTCAGCACCGGGCCCTCCTGCCCGTGTCTCCCGGAATCCCATCTCTGGTTTTGCCATCCAGGTGTCTTGGGCTTAGGGTACTGAAATCTGTCAATACAGATGCGATCAAGAGGATCCAGGTGTTCTGGAGGACTCTAGAAACTTGAAACGGCAATTTAAAATATCTTTAAAATGTACCCTCAAAAATGACTCCCAATCAAATGGCCTGTGCACACAGCAGCAGAACGGGATAGGCTGCCCTGTGTCCCACGGGAGGAGCCCTTTCCACTGACACGCAGGAGAAAACCGTCCCTGCACGGAAGACGTCCGCTCAGCACGTCTCGTTTGTGGGAAATTAGTAATTTAACGAGTTTTCTGATACATCTGTGGCAAAGTGAAGTTATTTCTATGCAAGTGTGAGGTAAACAGTTAAAGAGAGGGGTTTTGGGGGGTTTTGGGGGGTTTGTTTTCTCTTTCAGTTGTTGGACCACAAATTGGATGAAAATAGAATTTGTGCGTAATTGTAAAACAAGTGAAAACAGAACGTTCTCGGTTGCTGTGGAAGCTCGTAACCACAGAGGTGCCATCGTGCCATTGGGTTATTTTAGCACGTCCTCTGACAGCAGCTCCTTTCCCGCTTTTCAGAAGTGAGGCTCTTCGCCTGGCCTGGGGCGCAGGGGCGAGGCCTCGGGTGGTGGGCGCTGGGGCGCAGGGGCGAGGCCGCGGGTGGTGGGTGCTGGGGCGCAGGGGCGAGGCCGCAGATGGTGGGCGCTGGGGCGCAGGGGCAAGGCCGGGGGTGGTGGGAGCTGGGGCAGAGGGGCGAGGCCGCGGGTGGGGGGCGCTGGGCGCAGGGGCGAGGCCGCGGGTGGTGGGAGCTGAGGCAGAGGGGCGAGGCCGCGGGTGGGGGGCGCTGGGCACAGGGGCGAGGCCGCGGGTGGTGGGCGCTGGGGCGCAGGGGCGAGGCCGCGGGTGGTGGGCGCTGGGGCAGGGGCGAGGCTGGGGGTGGTGGGCGCTGGGGTGCAGGGGTGAGGCCGCGGGTGGTGGGCGCTGCGGCGGCGTCAGAGCCCCTGGGAGCCGGCGGCGGGAGCGTCCTGCGTTTGAGAAACGCTGTTCTCTTTATTGTGAGTCGCCTGTCTGATACATCTCAAAAAGCTTGTCCAGAAAATCAAAGCCCGGTGTCTCCGGGGCGCAGATGCGCCGTGGCGGGGGCCTGGGGGGCAGGTGCCGGCTCTCGTGGTCAGGAGCACGTCCTGTGCCTGTGCCCTGCATCCCCGTCCCCACGTGTTTTGCAGCTGGGAAGAGAAAATCGAGAGTGGGAGTGGCACCTTCTCTCCAGGAAGCGCCCGGAGCGTGGGCCGCGGGTTAGGAGAGGGTGTGGGCTCTTGTCTGTGGGCGCTGAGGTGTGGGAGGGACGGCTGGCGTCCGGCTCCTCCTGTCTAGGGCCTTTTCCTTCAGGGGGAAGGAGGCCACCCACTCCCACGGGCGCTGAGGGAGCCCTGTTGTCTCCGTGGGAATGTCATTCCTCCGCCAGGAAGAGACCAGCCCAGGCCAGTGCCCACTCTCGTTGCCACATGCTCATGATCACACCGTCCACACCCCGAAGCCACCTCCGTTATGGCTGCCCTGGCACTGAAAACACCAGCATCAAAGGAACAGAGCCGTGGTTTAGCCTGGAAGGGTGGGGCCCTGGAGCTGTCTGTGAGGGGGTCTGGGTGAGGATGGCCGGCAGCCCCTGGTGGACGTGGTCCCTGCGGGCTCTGGCAGGACCCCGGCCGTGGTGGTGGCTGCAGCCCCTCTGCGGGGGTGGGGCTTTCGGAGGAGGACAGCCCAGGCCCCAGAGAGTGCGAGGGGGACAGTGCAGAGAGGGGTCCAGCGTGGGCCTCCAGCACGTGGCTGGCCAAGGCCTGTTTAGGACGAACTCTCTTTGCCCCGGCAGAACAAGTGACTCAGAGCCTCCCAGAGGTTCTGGCCGGGCATGGGTGACCAGCAGCCCACCCAGCCCTGGCTCCTGCCCACACAGCCCCCGGGTCACGGCCCCTCCTGCCCCTGCTCCAGCCCCTAGCTGCCCGTTCTCAGTGGTCTGGCCTGGATCTGTGATGCCAGGAGCGCTCCAGGCCGCTGTTTGCAGGGAAGGCTGAGGGGCAGCCGCCTGCTCTCTGCTGTCTCTTCACCGGCATTTCTAGTGACGCCTGAAATGACACACGGGACATTTCCCGGCAGCCTCCAGCTTTCCCCCAAATCCTGGCTCACACTGGGTGTCCTTGTGGGTGGCACCCAGACAGCCGCCACCCTCCACCCTGACTGCAGGTTCTGCCTGTGGGTGAGGTCCTGACCCCGGAGGACAGTGAGGCTGGGACCGGAGTCCACGAGGCTCTGGAGGCGGCTGGCTGTTCTTCCCGCGTCCGCTCCTCGTTCCCACAGCCTCCACCCTCGGTCCCGCTCGCCTTCTGGGGACGTGGACAGCCGGCGTCGGGCCGGCTCTTGCACGTTTTCCATCGGGGTGGTCTGGATGAGGCGGGCCAAGGTTCTTCCGCTGTCTCTGGCCGGGGAGGGCAGAGAAACCCCCGGACGCAGCGCTGAGGCCTTGTCGTGCAGCTCACCGCGTTTCCAGGCGTGACGGGGGAGGCCGGTCCTCCACCCGTGTGTTCCCATCGGGGGACCGTGGCCCTGCCCGGCTCCCCTCCCTGTCCGAGCAGGAGCTGAGGAGCGTGAGCGGCGCCCGCCTGGCTCCCTCTGCCTGGCTTCCTCCTGTTTTGCTTCCTTCACTCCTGCTGTCATCCTCACACTTGTCCCTGCGTCCTGGGCCTGCGTCCTGCACTCTCCTGGAGGGGGCGAGAAGGGCCCAGGGCCCTGAGGAGGGGTCTTTGCCCTCGGCCCCGATCTCTGCGGCACCCACCACCCCGCGGGGGCACGTGGAGCTCTGTAGGATGTAGCCTGACCTCTGACCCAGGGTCAGAGAACACAGGTCCGTTTACCAAGTCACCAAAATAACTTGCCCGATAGCATCTCACCCACCACACAGGAGGCCGGGCTCATGTGAATAATTAATAGGTCACTGGAACGTGAAACAGGAGCCTCGGCCGATTCCGAAACAGCATTTCAGGTTTGCAGCCGGTGATATCATCGGTTAGGAGGGGGCAGCTGAGCCCCTGGTTTGGGACTTGGCCTCAGCTGCGCCGGTGAGAGGGGCTGGCGGGTCAGGCGAGGACCCAG